TACTCCAACCCTAGCACCAACCCTGAATTTAACACCATCCCCAACACACTATCCTAAAATATAAAATATACAAAACTGGGAAGCCAACCTTTGACCTTGTAGCTTACAAAATGTTGGACTTGATAAAATAATGTCATATCAGGATAAACCAAGAGACCACAAGGCAAGTGGTTTATAAATCTTCTCAAAAACCCAAGGGAGCATTATTTTTACTAAATACATTCTTCACCATGTATCTATCTATCTATTTAGGCTTGGGCTAGTATGTTATCATAATTATCATTGGGACAATGTTAGATGTTGTGTAATTATTATGGTAGTGTATGGATTGAGGGTTTGGGTAATGTAAGCACAGAGGCCAAAGGTAGGGGTTAACTGTTATAGTACATATATATCCTAGCGCTGCCTAAGATTAGTAGTGGTTACAGTCCCAGAATGCAGCTGTTTCAGCTACTGCCATTATATCAGTTCAAGAGAGAACTGAATAAAAATGGTGACAGTGCATCTTGGGAGTTTAACTCCGACACATCTCGGGCAGACTGGAACATCAGAAAGGTGAATTTGGAATAATTTCCCCTTTCATTACAGGGATTAAGTACACAAATGCCATCAGTGCCAACCAGCACACATAATGGGCACAGACAAAAACCATTACTGAAAGCAAAAAATGTTATCTCAAATGCAAACATTGTCATGCCAAATAATTTGTATATATTGTTAAGATAAATTCTTAGTCGAATGATAGAAGGCAAGCATGTATGCCCTATTGTAGTCCCGTTTTTACTACTACAAGACAAAGGCATTAAAGAAAAATTAATCATGTCAGAAGATTTTAGCAAAAACAAGTGAAATCAAGCGTAAAGTATCACCATGTCTAGTGTGAATTCACGCTCTGATTAAGGACATATAATGAAAGTGAAAGAAATACATCATTGCCTTAGCAATGGGGGTTTTTACAAGAGATATGCAAGTTGAATTAATTCAGAACAAGCGTGCATTTTACATCTATACATATTAATACTGATACTGGTATCGGTAAGCACCGGACACTGTATTTGGAGGTGCACACGTGTACAATAATATACAATTGTATGTATTTCTGATTTTGCAGTGGTTTATACGTTTTACAGAGTTCATTTAAATGGCAGTGGCAACAATATATTTTGTATCAAACTGCAACTGCTTTGCTCTCCTAACTATGTATTTTGTTCTAATTTGTATAGAAAAAATGTCACTGAGACCAATTATATATTAAGGGAATTTACAAGCTGTAGGTGAAAACCATTTCTCCATCTTTATGTATATTGAGGGTAATGCATAAATATTATACAAAAATAAATAATAAATAATTTTAAAAAGTATTCACCTTAAAGGTACCTCGTTTGCTGTATATATCCATAACCAATGAGAATAAAACTGTTGCTAAAATTGATGCATTATTTATCATGAGAATAATGAATAACAAAGATACAAAAATAAATAATAAAGAGTTTAGAAATATTTGCTTTTAAAGGTACCTTGTTTGCTGTATATATCCATAACCAATGAGAATAAAACTGTTTCTAAAATAGCAAAGTGCCACAAGGTTCCACTTCCTCGTATGGGATGATTAGAGTATTTAGACTATATGAAAAATATAGAAAGTGTCACCTCTCACTATATCTTCTTCAGATATAAATGTCTTGTACATCAACTTATTTAAGAAAATTGAATTATATATGGACTGTCTCATTTTTTTCTTCCAATATAATATTCACTCTAAGAATTATGGAATGTGTGCACACTCTATAACGAGTGTCAAAAAATTGTTCTGTCACTTACAGTGAGACTCTTCGACGTGGTGGCTTCGCACACACCTGTGGACAGGCATTGCTAAGCTTTCCTTTCTACATTCAAGGATGTGTAAATACGTGATTTAAATAATAATAAGTCATTTCTCGAATTCACCTGTTTTTAAGAACTGAACTTACCATTTCTCGAGAAAGGCCTAAGATATTGACCACTCCACTTCAAGCTATGTAGAATGAAAAGGAAACATTGCTCATTCAGTGGGCTCTTCCCAAAAATATGAAACATCGCATATGATGTCACCACCAGCGGTACACTACACCTGAGACACTAGGATCTTCTGTTCTGTTATAGAGGGTTATTCACTAAAGAGAGAGTTCAAAGTGAATTTCAAATTCAAGGTAAAAATAGCTGACTTGGAAACATTCTCAAAGTCAGCTATACTTCTAGTTCGGCTACTTTGGCCTCACATTTGAAATGGATAAGGTAAGTAACGCTACAACTTGATTCTGGCCTCACCTTTGAGCCTCACATCCAGTATGTCAAATCCTGTAGATTATATCTTAAAAACATAGCCCACACCCGCCAATTTCTTACGCAAGACGCTACCAAGGAGCTTGTCTATGCTCTAGTAATTTCCCTCATGGATTATTGTAACTCTCTCCTAATTGATCTTCCCAAAATCCGTATTGCCCCACTACAGTCTGTAATGAATGCTGCCGCCAGACTGATTTTCCTTTCGGTCCTCTCACACCTCACCCCTGTCAGTCCTTACATTGGCTTCCTGTATCCTATAGGAGTCAATTCAAAGTGCTAGCCCATACCTATAAAGCACTGAACAATTCTAGCCCCTCATATCTCTTCACAGATCTATAGGTATGCCACTTCTTGGTCTCTCTGCTCTGCCCGTGACCTTCTCCTGTCCACTGATCGCACCCGTACGGCCAACTCACGCTTGCAGGACTTCTCGCGGATGGCTCCCTTCCTATACTCTCCCCTAGTCTTCATTTGTTTAAGAAGTGCCTTAAAACCCATATCTTTAGGAAAGTTTATGGCCTCACAGAGTAACCTCTACCTTACATACCTGTCTCTTGCTCTCTCCTAAAGGGCAGCACTCTACTCTCTCCTCCAGCTCTGTTTCACTCCCACCTTATTTGATTGCTATTTCCTGTCCTAATGTGTTTTATACCCCACTTCCTATAGACTGTAAGCTCATTTGAGCAGGGTCCTCTTCAACCTATCGTTCCTGTAAGTTTTCTTGTAATTGTACTATTTATAGTTAAATCCCCCCATCTCATAATATTGTAAAGCGCTGCGGAATCTGTTTTCTTTTGCTTGAAATACAAAATATTCTTGCTGACCTTTTTTACCTTATATTTACTTTTCTTTAGTTCCTATAACATCCTCACTGATTTTGTTCTGTTTTTCTTTTTTAGTACTTTTGCAAAGACTGCCTTTACTACTGCTTACGTTTCTTTACAATTTAAAATGGCTGACTAATACCTGATCTGCTAATTGTGTTTAACATGCTGACATTCCACAAGAACTGTTTACCACATGTTTCTTTTAATCAGAAATGTGTGGTTAATGCAATTAATTTCTTTTTCTTGTCATACATTTGCAATTGATGTACTCAATGCAAGTTGAAAAAAATGTTTAAAAAATTGACCTCTTTATGATCAATAACAGAATAACTACATTGATGTTTGACAAAACATAAACAAAACCAACACAGTATTACATAGTTACATAGCTGAAAAGAGACTTGCATCCATCAAGTTCAGCCTTCCTCACATATGTTTTTTGCTGTTGATCCAAAAGAGGGAAAAAAAAAAACCCAGTTTGAAGCACTTCCAATTTTGCAACAAGCTAGGTGAAAAAATCCTTCTTGAATGGCAGTCATATTAATCCTTGGATCAAGCAGTTATTACCCTACATTGAAAGATTATATCCTTGAATATTCAGTTTTTGCAAGTATGCATCTAGTTGCTGTTTGAACATCTGTATGGACTCTGATAAAACCACTTCTTCAGGCAGAGAATTCCACATCCTTACTGATCTTACAGTAAAAAAAAACCTTTCCTTTGCCTCAGACTAAATCTTCGTTCTTCCAGTCTAAACGCATGGCCTTGTGTCCTATGTAAAGTCTGGTTTGTGAATAGATTTTCACACAATGGTTTGTATTGGCCCCTGATATTTTTGTATAATGTTATCATATCCCCTCTGAGGTGACGTTTTTATAAACTAAAGAGGTTTAAATGTGTTACCCTTTCTTCATAGCTGATATGTTCCAGTAAGTTTATCACAAACACACACGCACAGATACACACACACACACACATCTATGTGCACTTCTATTGATTTGTTTCTGTTTGTCAAGTTAAAGTGGCTCTGTCTATACACTATCAAATGGTACTTTTATAAAAGTATAATCTTTTTTCCACCTGTTTTTAAAAGGTGGCTGATACTTTTCTTTAAAAAGTGAATAAAAGATTTGCAGCTAACCTTAGACATGGTGAATAGCAGACTGTAGTGATTGTCATGCATGTGTCATTGATCCCCAATGGTTCTCTATAAGAATTGGATTTGACTGTTTGTCAGGTTGATCTGAGTTTGTTCAAATGCTTTTTTGCCTTTTTTTTTTTTAAAAGGGAGGAATTTAAAAAAAACAAAAATCTAAAACAATGCATTATAGATCCAAATAACAATATTTTTTATTCTTAGAGTGTTGATTTAATTATATAATTTTAAACAAAATCATAGTTTGTTTTTAGAGATTAGTAACTTGTTACAATAAGTTTGAGAAGTCATTTCAATATATTAACCAGAGCTCAAAATTTCCATTTGCCCACTAGCCATTGGCAAGTGAAAATTCATCTCTGACTAATAGAAATGTGCTATGTACCCTCCGGGCATGCAGTGGCAAGTCCATTGAGGCCTATCTAGTAGTGAAGGAATTTAAATTCTGAGCCCTGAACATATTTACTGTTACCTGAAACAAAACATAACTTCAAAATCATATAATAAACCTTTCACCAAAAAGCCAGAAACTTTAGTCAAACAATGCAGAATACGATATGTTTGGTCAACAATAAAGACATTCCATAATTCCAGGGGAGTATATTTCTCACACTCTTGCTTATCTAAACAATATTATCTATTTTCAGATTCTGCATACCCAGAAAAACTCCCACAGCATCACATTGAATTACTTATTTTGTGCATCCAGCCACAGCTGAGAGGGAAGGGCCCACTGTCAGTGGATGTAATAATACCAATTTTTTTCACCTTTATTATTAGCCATTGTGAAGGAATTGCTTAAAAGATCCGTTTAAGGTTTTCATTTCTTAAAACCACTAGCTGCATCCCTTCCTGAAAAGGTTTTCTTGTGTGTGTTTATCAAATGAATGGTTTAGAGAGAGACTTTGTAGTTGGATTTTTGTTTCAAATGTGAAACGTAGCCTTTACCTTAAAGTGAACATGTCATGAACTGAAATCCCCTCATAGGCAATAATTGTACCATTTATCATAGAGATCCATCACATTGTTAATAATATATAGATAATAACCCTACTTACCCCAAATAAGACACATGCATAGCCAATGCATGTACGTCTGAACAGAGTGACATCATAATTATTTACTGGTAATTTATTTGGTATGTTTAACTTGAAGTACATTTTTATTTTGTATTTCCAGATAATTACATTTATGCATTTAGAGCCATTATATTATATGAAATAGTCTGAAAATCCCTAAGAAAGGAAGTGAATAAAAGGCATATTTGAAAGGTCTCATATTCCCAAACACAAATATGTAACTAGAATGCTATTTTGTGAGGGACCTGGGATCTGTGTGTCACTTTCTTGCTTAAAAAAATGCTTAGAAATGATGCCATAGCTTGTTAAAGTCACTCGGCAACACGCAGAAGAATTGTGACGAGCACAGCAAGGACTGTCTGACATCATAGCACATTTTTTGAGCTCCTAAATATGTCAGAATGAATGAGCTACCTCAACCATACCAAGTCAAGTAAGTACAGTCAAGGGAAAAAGATAGTACACCCTCTTTGAATTCTATGATTTTACATATCATGCCATAATAACAGTCAGCTATTTCTCAGCAGGTCTTAAAATTAGGTAAATACAACCTCTGATTAACAACAATACATGACATTGTGTCATTAGTTATTTAAAGGGACACTATAGTCACCCAGACCACTTCAGCTCGTCACCCAGACCACTTCAGCTCAATGAAGTGGTCTGGGTGCCAGGTCCCTCTAGGGTTAACCCTGCCTGATGTAAACATGGAAGTTTCTGAGAAACTGCTATGTTTACATCTGGGGTTAAGCCAGCCTCTAGTGCCTGTCTTCCGGACAGCCACTTGAGGCGCATCGGCAATGATTGAGGCATAATTTGCCTCAATCACGCAGAGCGTCCATAGGAAAGCATTGAAAAATGCGCATTCGGCGCCGGTGATGTCAGACAAGGATGCTGACGTCGGCGGGGGAGGAGAGGTAAGGGAGCCCAGCAGGGGAAAAGGGTGAGTAGCTTCAGCACCACGGGAGGGGGACCCTGAGGGTGGGGGCACCCTCAGGGTACTATAGTGTCAGGAAAACCAAGCGGTTTTCATGACACTATAGTGTCCCTTTAACAAAAATAAACTCAAAATGGAAACGTCATGTGTGAAAAACTAAGTAGACCCTTACTGCTATTAGAAGGCTAAGTGGCAGATGGGTGCTGCTAATCAAATGGCCTTCAGCAAGTGTGACCAGCTCTATAATAGCTAAAGTTTTAGCAGTTTGGTCTGGAGCATTCAGGTGTGTATTAACACAATGCCAAGGAGGTCAAACATCAGCAATGATCATAAGGAAGCAATGGTTGCTGCTGATCAAACTGGGAAGGGTTATAAGGCAATTTCCAAACAATTTAAAGTCCATCTTCAGTGTGAAAGATTTTTCAAAAGTGGAAAACATTCAAGAGAGTTACCAATCTTCCCAGGAGTGGATGTCCCAGCAAATTCACCCCAAGGTCAGACCTTCCAATGCTTAGATAAATTGCAAACAGTTACTGAGACTCAGACTCTACAGGCTTCAGCTAGCATGTTAAATAACCACTATAGGCATCCAGACCACTTCAGTTCAATTAAGTGGTTTGGGTGCCAGGTCCCTCTAGGGTTAACCCTGCCTGCTGTAAACATAGTAGTTTTAGAGAAACTGCTATGTTTACCTATGGGTTAATCCAGCCTCTAATGGCTGTCTCTTTGACAGCCGCTAGAGGCGCTTCCGCGCATCTCACTGTGATTTTTACAGTGAGAAGACGCCAGTGTCCATAGGAAAGCATTGAGAATGCTTTCCTATGGACTGACTGAATGCGCGTGCAGCTCTTGCCGCGCATGCGCATTTAGCCGATGACGTCCAAAGGAGGAGGAGAGTCCCGAGGGAGCCCGCGCTGGAGAAAGGTAAGTGTTTAACCCCTTCCTCCAACTTCAGCCCGGCGGGAGGGGGGCCATGAGGGCTGAAGTTGTTAAAGTTGTTAAATGTTAAAGTTCATAATAGTACAATTAAAAAAAGATTGAACAAGTATGATTTGTTTGGAAGGGTTGCCAAGAAAAAGCCTCTTCTCTGTAAAAAGAATATGACAGCATGGCTTAGATTTGCAAAGTTGCATCTGAACAAACCACAAGACTACAGAAACAATGTCCTTTGGACAGACAAGGTCAAACTGGAGATGTTTGGTCATAATGCACAGTGCCATGTTTGGTGTAAACTAAAAACAGCATATCAGCATAAACACCTCATACCAACTGTCAAGCACAGTGCGCTTTGGGCTTGTTTTGCAGCCACAGGACCTGGGAACCTTGCAGTCATTGAGTCGACTATAAACTCCTCTGAATACCAAATTATTTTAGAGTCAAATGTGATGCCATATGTCCGACAGCTAAAGCTTTGCTAAAATTGGGTCATGCAAGAGGACAATTATTCCAAACAGACCAGCTAATCTACAACAGAATGGCTGAAAAAAAAGAATCAAGTAGTTGTAATGGCCCTGTCAAAGTCCAGACCCAATTGAAATGCTATGGTGGGAACTTAAGAGAGCCGTGCATAAACAAATGCCAGTAAACCTCAATGAAGTGATGCAACGTTGTAAAAAAGAGTGGCCAAATCTCTTCCACAACGATGTGAGAGACTGATAAAGTTATACAGAAAATTATTATTTAAAGTTATTTCTGCTAAAGGTGGTTCTACAAGCTAATGAATCATAAGGTGTACTTTGTTTTTCACACATGGCTTCTCCATTTTGGCTTTTTTTTGTTGTTAAATAAATGATGTCACGGTGTAATATATCATGTGCTGTATATTACCAGTAATTCTCAACAATTTCGACAAACAACATATTTTACCAAGCATGCTTGACAACAATTATTCCACAGACAATACAGGGAGTGCAGAATTATTAGGCAAATTAGTATTTTGACCACATCATCCTCTTTATGCATGTTGTCTTACTCCAAGCTATATAGGCTCGAAAGCCTACTACCAATTAAGCATATTAGGTGATGTGCATCTCTGTAATGAGAAGGGGTGTGATCTAATGACATCAACACCCTATATCAGGTGTGCATAATTATTAGGCAACTTCCTTTCCTTTGGCAAAATGGGTCAAAAGAAGGACTTGACAGGCTCAGAAAAGTCAAAAATAGTGAGATATCTTGCAGAGGGATGCAGCACTCTTAAAATTGCAAAGCTTCTGAAGCGTGATCATCGAACAATCAAGCGTTTCATTCAAAATAGTCAACAGGGTCGCAAGAAGCGTGTGGAAAAACCAAGGCGCAAAATAACTGCCCATGAACTGAGAAAAGTCAAGCGTGCAGCTGCCACGATGCCACTTGCCACCAGTTTGGCCATATTTCAGAGCTGCAACATCACTGGAGTGCCCAAAAGCACAAGGTGTGCAATACTCAGAGACATGGCCAAGGTAAGAAAGGCTGAAAGACGACCACCACTGAACAAGACACACAAGCTGAAACGTCAAGACTGGGCCAAGAAATATCTCAAGACTGATTTTTCTAAGGTTTTATGGACTGATGAAATGAGAGTGAGTCTTGATGGGCCAGATGGATGGGCCCGTGGCTGGATTGGTAAAGGGCAGAGAGCTCCAGTCCGACTCAGACGCCAGCAAGGTGGAGGTGGAGTACTGGTTTGGGCTGGTATCATCAAAGATGAGCTTGTGGGGCCTTTTCGGGTTGAGGATGGAGTCAAGCTCAACTCCCAGTCCTACTGCCAGTTCCTGGAAGACACCTTCTTCAAGCAGTGGTACAGGAAGAAGTCTGCATCCTTCAAGAAAAACATGATTTTCATGCAGGACAATGCTCCATCACACGCGTCCAAGTACTCCACAGCGTGGCTGGCAAGAAAGGGTATAAAAGAAGAAAATCTAATGACATGGCCTCCTTGTTCACCTGATCTGAACCCCATTGAGAACCTGTGGTCCATCATCAAATGTGAGATTTACAAGGAGGGAAAACAGTACACCTCTCTGAACAGTGTCTGGGAGGCTGTGGTTGCTGCTGCACGCAATGTTGATGGTGAACAGATCAAAACACTGACAGAATCCATGGATGGCAGGCTTTTGAGTGTCCTTGCAAAGAAAGGTGGCTATATTGGTCACTGATTTGTTTTTGTTTTGTTTTTGAATGTCAGAAATGTATATTTGTGAATGTTGAGATGTTATATTGGTTTCACTGGTAATAATAAATAATTGAAATGGGTATATATTTGTTTTTTGTTAAGTTGCCTAATAATTATGCACAGTAATAGTCACCTGCACACACAGATATCCCCCTAACATAGCTATAACTAAAAACAAACTAAAAACTACTTCCAAAAATATTCAGCTTTGATATTAAGGAGTTTTTTGGGTTCATTGAGAACATGGTTGTTGTTCAATAATAAAATTAATCCTCAAAAATACAACTTGCCTAATAATTCTGCACTCCCTGTATAATGAAAAGTAGAATCAGTACGCTGGAAGAGGAAGGAGACCTGAAACAGAAAGCTATTTTGTGATCCACAGAACCAGCGGTTTGTATTTTGGAAAGGACATTTTGGCTCAATAATCAAATAATTTGTGGAAGTGCTTGGGGAGGCAGCACAGTTAAGAGAGGGTTAGACAGATAGGATATATCTTGGTCACTTTGGGGTCTTAATTAGGTCGCTGTCTTCTGCCATCTTACATGCGCATAGTCATCCCTAAAGGCATATTCCTAACATTAGCTCATAGACCCCCTATAAAAACCACAGACACAATCATTTTGGTAAAAATTCTCACAGCTTTAACTAGGTTTGATAAAATAACTTAATTAAAGGTCAAACAGACACTTATTATGACATCACAACCAATACAACCCCTTAAACATAACTATACCCACATACAATGATCTAACCATAAATAACAGCAATACATCTATACAACCAGATAACATTCTTATAAATAACATAAACACTTAACACAGCCACCAAGGGCATTCTTTTCCAACTGTAGGGGCATAACGAGATACCACTACACTACCAACGAGCTCGAACCTACCAATACCAAATCCAAACATAACTATTCATATTAACCCTAAGCTCCTCCCCTCAGAGTAATCCTCCATTTAAATCGTATCAATATCCATATGCCTGCCTCCTAGCTCTGTCAAGGCCCATTCCACCTAGCTTTGCTGTTCTATGGACAACAAGAGACCATTTTTGATATGCCCAGCAGAACCACATCCCAACTGAGTACTAAGTCACAGACACAAATTTCTAACTTTGCTCATTGAATATATTTTTTTCCCTGCTATATTTCAAATACTGCCATAGATAATAACAGTCTTATTATAGGAGTCTAAACAATATTTTTCTATGATGATGCACAGTGACTTGTAATTAAAGACTGACAAATCATGTCACAAAAAAAACAATATATTCATGTGAAAACCAAATTGTTACAATGGAGTTATGTCAAGAGTCAGAAAGAACTCTTTGTGCAGAAATTCCTTTGTGTGTGTGATGTTCTGCTATAGAACATTCAAGAGAAACTGCATTTTATTTGTCTGCATATAAAGAGATAGTTGAGGTTGTACAGTATGACAATTTTTTTTTTCTGAATGCAGTGAAAACGGATCATGATTGACCTCAAGGGAGTTTGTACTTTTGGTAGTATAAAATAAGACAAATTAGAACGCACTTGCTGTAAAACAGTGGTTTACAGCCGAGGTTCCCATGGGCCTTAATAGTGACTCCAGTATCCCTTCAACTTTCAGAGCAGAAAAATGTCATTGCATTCTGTGGTTTTCGCTGTCACTGTCAGCAGAAATTGGACAAAGCTTGGCCTTTTGGTTATAGTCACATTAAACAGATATGCACCATTGTTAAGAACAGACGTTAAAAATTAGCATTACTTTTTTTATTTTTTAAATAAAGGAAATGTATCATAGAGTTTGAATATGCACAGACACAGAAGGTAAAGATATTAACACATCACCAAAAGCCAAATAATTTCACAGTTTATCATTTATATATTGCTACATTATCTAGTAAGCCTATTGACCAGGCATAGTATAATATTTGGAACTTTGATTATTCAGTGGTGTAAGTATTCAAAAAAATGCCAAATACAGCCAATATATTTAACATTGTATGTATTTATACATATTTGTTGAATTTATGTGTATTAGTTGTTTGAAAGAAACAAATAAAATGTAAAATATTTTAAGCATATAATGCGTTCACATTTTGTACCTACAACTTTAAATGATCAGAGTTGCAAACGTACTAATGTTTTTCATGTTTTATCAATAAACATAAATGCCAAACAAAATAAATATATATTTTTTTACTTTTCAAACAGTTTCAATAAGCTGGTAAAATATTAATTACATTATAGGTATATCACCCCGAACACCAATCTGCCTATCGCAATCAATATACACAATGCATATTGGAGTATATGCACAAGAAATCGTTAGAAGGAAAATTGGTTAACTAAACTACTACTTCACTTTAGTACAATACTACTCAGCTACAAGTGATTTTGGTGCATAGACCATGCCAGTGCAGTCTCGTTGATCAATTATCAAGAGTTACATTACAGAATTTCTGAAGCCCTAGCCATAGATTCCCTTGTTGTGCCTCATGCATCCTCTGTTAACACTCCCTGAAAAGAAAGATCTATATTGACAATATCTTAACTTCAGAGTCACTACCTGTGTTTACTTTACGACTAATGCTGGCATAATGCATTGGCCATGCCAGCAGACTCCTGTGTTGGACAAAATTATGGATCTCACAAGAACACTGGAAAACCTTCAAAGCCTGCAAACTTTCCCTGGGCAACATCAGTGAAAGTACATGGTTAATGTGAGTAATTTTTATATAACTTGTAAAATATTCACTATTTAAATACTTAATGTTTTGCAGCTAGGTAAGGTAGGATTTCAGGTAGTTATGCATGTGCATTAAACTATATACATGTTGTAACCATTTTTAGGCAGTTATGCAAATGCATTAAAATATATACATTTTGTAAGGATTGACATTCCTTTTAATGTGTGACCTTCCAGGCCCATGGAAAATACTGTTCCTGTATGGAACCTTAAAGGTTATCCAGTATTAACTGGCACATGGATATGCTGTAAAAAAAATCTGACTGATTATGGATAAATTTTTTTAAGATTTCCACTCTTATTATGCAACATATAAATAGAACAAAATATAGAACAATAATGTACAAATATATACACAGATGAAGTGCCCATATCATTATAAACTTACAGAAAAGTTACTAATACCACCTCCAATTTGAAAAATTGTCAGATTATCAAGCAGTAGCTCTAACTAATGAAACTATCTGCAATGTATAGGAATATTTTCAGCTGATTATGCCAATTGTCAAGTGACAGATGAGCTTCTACTAGGATTAGCTACTGATCTCTAATGTGCATTCACAAAGTCACTTTAATCAGAATCTGAGCATCAATATCACCAACAAGTATAATATGCATTGGTAAAGTGATACTTATATATTAAGTTCTTTTCTGAATTCTCAATAATCAACACCCTAGTCAACAATTTAGATTTAAATATATTTAAAAATTTCAGCCCTACTAAGACCATTCATGGCATTAAAACCTCTGACAGCTTTGGTAGTTGTCAAGGAAAATAGGGACATAACATCTTTAAAAACTTAAAGAATATTTAAACTCACCAACACTTTTATTCTTATTATAATGTTTGAAATGCAAAAAACAAGGTGCTACAAAGCAAAAAAGTACAATGTAATTAAAACTTTTTCCAGACTTTGCTTTTACAACAAACCCTACTCCGAAAGGAAATATTAACTTTTTTAAATCTAAACACATTATTTACATATGTATCTGATTAACTGTCCAAAAACCAATATGACTTACTTGTAAGTATTTTCCACGTCTTCTTTTCGTCATCGTAATACTGAACCAGATTGCTGGGCAGTCGGTCTGGCCCAGGGGGCAATCCACCCACTAATAATAACATTTTCTTGTTGGATCGAATTCTTCACCCAAAACAGAAAAGAAGAAGGATGAGTGCTATTAAAACTTGCCGTCCCGGCTCCCAACAGTAATCTATTTTATGTTTCGTACATCTTCCCATAATCATGTCACAATAAGTTTGAGGGAAGAGATGAGCAGGAAAATCATTAAAAAAGATGCACATCCTTTACTGGTGAAGACCAGAAAAATAAGGTCTTAGCTTGCCATTTGTTTAAGTTCCACCCTGAATTACAAGTTCTTTTTTCCCTCTCCCTTATTATCCATATAAATCATCGCTTTTTACGGCTGAGTACACAGGAAATGCCCTGCAGTTGTGATAAGGTTTGGTATTAAAGTTACACATCAAAAATCATATTAGTTAAATTATTATTATAAGTCATTTTACACTCAGAGAACCTTGAAAAATGATAAAGGTTATATTCTGAGACGGGAGACAATACTTTCATGACATAGAAAAATCTCATATGTGTGATTTTACGTAATTAGACACAGAATTAAAGATACAATTTTTTATTTTATTTTTTATCTTTTATTGTTGTTGAACGTCATAACTGATTGTAGAGTAATTTGTCGCTCGGTTCATTAGTACTCAAAAGGTTGATTTGTTTTATTATTTTTCTAATTTATTTTATTTGGCTGCTTCACCATTTCCATTGTTGATCTCCCCTGAGTACCAGTGGCTACAATACAACAGTGACTGGTGAGCATGGGATCGTACAGAAGGTATCCCCAGAGTGGAGCCTTGCCAGTGCTTTTCAATGATCCAGCGGCAGAAACCTGCTCATCTATGCAAAAGTCACTCGAATTCCATCCTGTTTCATTTTTTTTATACCTTCTCCCCTAAGGGGCAACTACTGAACAGTATGACTACCCACCAACAGTGCTGGAAATTCTATTTTACTATCAGTGATTCTGATTCCCAACCTGCTCAGATGTAGTTCCAATGGAACACATTGGCATACACTTAGATGAAAGAATTAAAGTATGGATGGATAGATGACTTAAAGTGTAAGTCATCTCATTGCGATGATTTATTTTTATTTGATAGGTACTAGGCTCATACCCTTTTTTAAAAAATTATTATTTTCTGTTTAATTCCTGTCATTTCTTTTAGTTATAAAAAAGAGTTATGTATCATAACCTTGCCCCTTTGCCCACACACTGTTCCTGATTGGCCTCCACGGCAGTGTACATACAGAGTTTAGACACTGATCAGACTGACCTGCACTTTGGGGGGAGCATTCTCCGTGTAAATAAGAGGATAGGACAGCCAGGAAGACATAAAACTATGTTTGTCTGTGTGTATGTCTGTCTGTTTGTCTATTTTAATTGTATATTTAGAGTACGTTTTCTCCCTTTTGTGCCTGTGGTACATTGAACCCGTGGGCCATGTTGTGCTCATCTGTCATCTTAGACAACTTATTAGAGGGTTCTGAGATACTGTGCGGGGTCTGTTTAGCTCCCAGTCGTGGGCAAGGTCCAGCCCACGCGTTTCCCATTCTCTTCACCACATTGAGCTGTGTGTTTCTTGGCAAGAGTGTAAGCTTTGAAGGTTAGCCAGGTACACTCTGCACAGCTCCATGTTTGCAGAGCTAGACTGCATCTCTTTATGTAAGGCTATAGTATAATACAATTAGTACTAATGTTAGTCATAATAATGATAGGGGCATAGATCAGAATATGTTCATTATGCCAGTTTAGTAGCAATGGCCAGCATTTCAATTTTTTAGTTTAGTACTACAATTAAAGCACCCTGCTAAAATCAAGATCGCTGGCTTTTTTTTGGCTATGGCAGGCATGTGCGTTCTTTCCAAATGAGCAAGAGAAGGTCCAAGGAATGGTGATGATTGTATCGCCAGCTACCTGAACTGCCTCACTGAGAATTATTACTGTGCTCTGCTAGAGCCAATTTCCAAACCAAAAGTAAGGCATAAGGGTGAATTAAAAGGGAATATTATTAATACATTCTTTAATAAAGTGGATAGGGGTTGGGGATGAATTAAATACGAATACTATTAATATATTATATAATAAAGGGGATAGGGATGAGGGTGAATTAAAAGGGAATATTATTAATACTTCTTTAATAAAGTGGATAGGTGTAGGGGGGAATTAAAAAGAAATACTATTAATATATTATATAATAAAGGGGAAAGGGTATGAGGGTGAATTAAAAATGAATACTATTAATATATTCTTTAATAAAGGGAAAAGGGGGTGAGGGTGAATTAAAAAGGAATACTATTAATATATTCTTTAATAAAGGGGAAAGGGGGTGAGGGTGAATTAAAAAGGAATACTATTAATATATTATTTAATAAAGGGGTTCAGCTGTGGGGGTGAATTAAAAAGGAATACTATTAATATATTCTTTAATAAAGGGGATCGTGGTAGGGGTGAATTAAAAAGGAATACTATTAATATATTCTTTAATAAAGGGGATCGTGGTAGGGGTGAATTAAAAAGGAATACTATTAATACATTCTTTAGCAAAGGGGATTATATCAAGCCCATACAATTCATTTAATATAACAGCTTCTAGATCCCCCTTGAGAAAGGTCAAGGACCAAAATGTTGTTTTTTTTGGTCTCCAAGCTCTAGGTCAGTATACCTTGTTTATGTTTTATGGGTTTTTGGTAAAAGCACTTACCGTGCACGTAGTTTTGAACATTTGATGGCATTTGTTTGTACTTCTGTTTTACACAACTGCACTTTCTTATTAATCATATATCTACAGAAATAAAAACTATCTTGGTACTAAAATCATTGGTGTGCTTGGGAATTATTTCTATTCTATGACTGTTATGTACCTGGTGAGGGAATAGGTATTTCCCTTATAGAACCCGGTTTGCTTTTTTTCTGCATGCCAGACCAAATTGACCCATACCAGTTGAGCATTGACTATAATATTTTGTATACATATTGTGGTGTATTATAGCATGGCTTTTTGTTTCCTATTTTATATCAGGGAGACTAGCTGCTTCTGTTCTTTCTAAACTGTTACAGACACGAAGGACCTTGTGGATAATAGGAAGAAGAGGACACTGAAATATTATCCTGAAATTTGCATACACATAATGCACTGATTTGTCTCACCCAAAGAGGTAAGTCCAGCACCACTGAGGGAGTAGAGGCACCTGGAGGATTTTAGGTAAAATGTCAAACCATTCTAAAACTGTTTGACTACTTATAAGAGGAGGGGGGGGGGCAGCTGCTGTAGTGGTTATGGTTATTTTGTTCCTATATATAGGTAGGGTGCAGTTGTAGGGGGAACTAAGCATCAGATCTTCATTGAACAGTAAGAGGTCTAGTAGCTGCCAATCCTTTTACTATATATAAATTATGTGTGTAGTGTTCACAATCATGTACACGTGAACTTACCACATGCTCATGTAAATTTAACAAAAAAATCGGATTAGAGATAACTAATGGTGATGCAATTGCTGCATCTCTAGCTGTTTTTACAGAAAACTAGAAAACAGGCAATATATTTAGCAAATACTATATTGTCTCTGTCATCTTCGGGGATCTCCTCAGCTCAGCGTTTCTCTCTGCTAAGAGGCGTGTCAGTACTATACACTCATGCATGCGCAAGAATATAACCTTAACGTCAGTCATACACAAAGTCTCACAATCTACAAGAAAAGGCCTGATTCTCCCACTTCTCCCAAGCTGTAGCAATTCAGACGAAACTTGATAGAGGAAACTCAACCTTTTGTCAACCTCAGTCTTGATAAGACAACGTAGGTCCTACTTTGTCTTATGATTTGTTTTGAGAGAGATTATGAAATTCCATCAAGTCAATGTGAATATTTTATCACAGCTTCTAACTTTATACATACAAAGTATAGTTTGGTGACACAACTACTTTAAAGCAAATAAAACATTAATTGTGTCTTCTTTGCAACAAGACAATGCCAGGTTCTTGATTCCACTGATTTGGCATATCATTGTTTTTAGGAATTAAACTGTCAGATTAAATGTGTGTAATCACCATTAGAATAATATCCTATTTATCTGACTATATACCAAGTATTTGTTATAACAAGCAACCATGCCAAGAAAAACTGATAACCCGACCTATGATCTCTGACAGTAATAGCTGACCTTCGCACTCCATATGTTTGCAAAAAACATTTCCTATAATACTCAGCCAGCAAAAATTACCCTTCACTCTTTAAAGAGATGTAGCTCTATTTCATTATGCTTTTTGATATACGAACACACCAATTTATGTTCCAGCAACAAAAAGGTTTAAGACATGTATTACAGATATAAAGTGCCAACGCACAATTTGCGTCATTGTTTTGACAAGCACAAACACAGAATTTAAGCAAACAGGTAGCTTAAAAAAATCTTGTTCTCAGCAGGTAGCAACACATATATATTTACATGTAGTGTTGTCGATGTTGCAAAATGAATTTTTGTTCATTGATGAAACTTATAGGCTAGCTAAATGAACTTAGTAGACAAACACATTGATCTTACAACGTTAATGCTTCATGAGTTAATTTCCTAATTAATTCTCAGATCTCAACAAGACTGTGTATTTAAAAAAAAAAAAAGAATCATAACATAAAAATGATCTTTACAATGATTAACAGAGAATGAAAACAACAACAAATGATGTGTTTAAACCTTATTTTTAGTGATAACCTAAATGTTTTATAATGTCTTCTAACACAGGAATGACCCTCCTCTTACTTCCTGTTTTGTTGGCTAGTTATAAAGCATATTACAAAGATGTAAAAAAAAAGCAACCAGTGAGCATGAAGAGGTCAGTTGCATGCTGGGAGATGTGTTCCATGCACATGTCAGGTAATTAACCATGCACACATTAACCATTAAACCATTTACAAAAAAACATTAACATCACATAGATAGTGTATTTTTTGTGATCCTCTTTAAGGATTTTCTCTGACGTAAGCTGGTGCTTCGTAAAGTGTCTGGGACATTTGTCAGGCCTAACTGCAATAATAAAAGTACGCGTTGAGCTCTTGCAAAGGAATAATAAAACCCTGTGCTGCAAAATTAAATTGCTATAGTATAAATTACACGTGGCTCTCCGCAAGCTAAGCCATGTCACCGCCTCATGCTTATGGTGACACCACATAAAATAAATATACGATAGTCAGTGGTTGAATCTGCAACAATGTCTGCTTCATCTGTGTAAAATACTCTGTAAACCTCACCAACTCAGACTTACTGGGTATGTCCCATATATGTCCTGTATATACTGTTGCATGCTGTTACATTCTAAAAAGTCTAAACAGAAATAAATTTTTAAACAATAATAGATCTATTTTTCACTTCGCCTGTAGAAGACTATATTGATACTGTAGTATCTGATAGATATGTCCTTGCCTACTAGTATATCCTAATGATCTTTTTGTTCCACTCTCAAGAAAACATCATCACATTATCAATATAATGATGTGAATAACAGTACATAATGATAGCAAGTAATGACAGAGCCCATATAAGGCACCCATTGAAAAAAGAAAATGGCGTCATGAAGAGTTTAGGTCTATCAGATCAGATACTAATTTAATTGCCACAGAACAAAATAAAAAGCACAATCTCACCTGCTGGCTAAGGTCTGCCTGCAATGTTGTCTGAAAGGCATTAGGTGGTAGTTCATAGCATCCAAAAGTAGCTTCTGGCACACGGGATCAGACCTCATGAAATCTACTGACTGTACCCTCTCTACTAACTCTGGTGCTGGTATGAGGGCAAAGCGAAGCCTCTTCATTAAGTCTGGTGCATATTGCATTCTCGTTTCCCTATCGTGCTCCAGCCAGAGCACAGACATCTGGAAGAGAGCGAGTTCTGACTCAACTGGAGGTGGGAGAGAGTCCAGCATGGAACGCATCTCTTCAAAGTTGAGTAAGAGGACATCCTCTACCAGGTACTTGTTAGCCAGCTTCTTGGTCTCCTCCAGACCATGCAAGGCTGCAATTTTGCACACCTGTTTGTAGTTCTGCACAGAGATCTGGTCATTGAGAAACTGTACACATAGTTTAGTAACCTGAGGTATGTGCAGGATCTTGCTGACAGACAGGACCTCCTCCACTGTGTCCAATGACAATGTAACATTGGCTGTATAAAGATATTCCAGTACCAGTCGGAGTCCTATTGAGGAGCAGCCCTGAAGAACCAGATTGTTAATGGCCCTGGGACTCACCAGAAGCTTGTCGTCTGGGGATGAGGAGGGTGTTCCTGGCTCCTCTGTCTGCTGTTGCTGGTCCTTAGGGACAGATGGCAGCCCATCCTGGCCTGGGTGGCTGGAGAAAAGTGATCTGAAATACTGGGAGCAAGACGCAAGCACAGCCTTGTGACAGTGGAATTGCTGACCCTGGGCTGTCAAAGTCACATCACAAAACAATTGCTTCCTCCAAAGCAGATTTAGACCATGCAGTAGATTGTCACTATGGCTCGGGTCAAAGGTAGAAGTCCTGTCCCCCGATCTGGACATGGCGGGCTTCAAGTGCAACCTGTCTTTTAGACCTGTTAGGACAGAAGACATAAAGGAAATGAGTACTACAGATATGCCCTTTTACAATATGAAGTGCATTGACAAGCTTTGTATTGAGGGGCTGCCTGCCAATCTTCACAAAAAAATTATAATCATATCACGATAAACTGATTTCATTGTTTATCGTAGTTTGAACATCCCAACTGTGTTTTATTCATTTATTTAATAAAACCACCCACTAAAATGTCATCTGAATGTTTATAATGCAATTATCTATAAATCTCCTATTGTGTTTGGCAATAATGATGGTGTACTGAACTGCAGAATATTTTATGCCATTTAAAGAGACATGTCATTTGGATCAGCACAAAGTACCCACTGATTAGCAGTTAATAATGCTCTAGAGTCTAGATGAACAGATCTAGGAACATATGCAAATCATAATCTTATATTATAAAAAAACAAAACCAAAGTAATAACCTACTAATTAATCAAAGTCATATAAAATGTATTTTACTTACATAAAAATTAATTCCCATTCATTCAGTCAACTCATTCAGTTGTGTAAATAATATTTATTTATTTTACTTATGCATCCACCTATCTTCTCGGCATATAGTCATTCTCTCGCTGTCTGTTGTACTACACTATGAAACATGTTGGTGCTCCATATGTATAACAACAACAATGTTCTTGTGTTAACACTATCTTTAATTCCTCATTTAGCTTTTATTTCCTATGTATAGAGTCATTTGTCTGAACCTCTTAAAACCCCCTAACTATATTCCAACGATTAATAGATCTCCTTTTTAAATATGAACAACCTATGAAAATGTTATAATGCACTTTTATTATACACACTTTTCACTACACTACGTTAAACAAACTATAAATATTACAACAAAAAAGACATGGCTCTGGTTGGTCATAGACATTTAAGAGTTCCTTCTGTCCCTAATAATACATATGACTGGGTTTTTTTTTTTGGTTTTTTTAAATAAAATCATATAGCCATGTGTTGAAAATAGATGCATATAAAATTTAAAACTAAATAAAGGAACATTTATGTTAATGCAATCCTTTTTAGGACAAATAAATACATCCTAGTTTATTCCATGTTTAATAACGATAACAGAGATCTAATTGCGATGTTTAAAATAAATAAATGAATTAAAAACAACTATAGTGAACAGGTGAATAGACTGCATGACTCAAGAGCTACATCTGGGCTGTGTGTCATCTGGTACTATATTAAAGATTGCAAATCTGTCACCAAATTTCTAAAAGCGAAATTAAATTAAATTATATCTCCTAAAATTATCTATATAAATGTTGTTTTGTCCTTGTTTTTATAGAACAGGGGTGATTACTGTGAGAGAATCACTTAGGTCAAGTATAAATATGATTAACAATAGTAGTATATTTGTGAAGCACCAACATACTCAGCGGTGATGTACAATAGTCTGCAACAATATGCAAGTAATATGATGTTACAAGTAGCATTAACAGGTGGGGAGGATGTCCCTCCCCTAACTAGCTTACTGTCTGAAGGAAAAAAAAGGTGAAGATCATAGTTAACAAATGAACCGTGACCTGTAGAGGCGCATCTTAATATGATGATGGGGAAATCAAAACATATTATATGCTACAAAGGGAAACATGTTTTTATTTTGGCTAATGTATTCTACCTGTTCCCAGTGAATAAAATAACTCTGTGTGTTAGACACAGGTTTTTGTTTTTTTACTACAACTCCCAACATTCTCAGTAAGCAAGTTAAGAGCTGTTTGTGATATAGGTATAACTGCATGAGAGCTTCTATATAGTCACATCCTGTAAGAATCAGGAATCACAGGTAAAAAGCTTTCTACTTCCTTCAACTAATCCCTCCCATTCCTTCCCTACACAGTAATGATACTGGGCAGGTTACATGTTTTATAGCCTTAAAATAGCCACTCAATACATTATACTCTCATCAGGAAAACTGTCTCCCTGGCTCTGTTTCAATATTTTCCAAGGCAGTTTCCGCACATCTGTTCCTAATATTGGAGAGAAAAAACTATATGGCAGGAGTGACCGAAAGGTAGACCAGGGGAATACACCTCCCATATGGGTTTACCTTTCGGCCATCCCTGGTAAACGGGATAGAACAATCTATGTTGTAGATTGCAAATGCATCCAGGGACAATATCTGAAATATTGCAAAACACTAAGAACAATAAGGCTTCTTACAACAATATTTAGGGATATTCAAAATTCGTATTGGTGCTACCGAAATTAAACACAGTGTATCATATATAATGAACAAGCCAGTCCCTGTGACTCTCGCCACAAACAAAACAAGTGGCCAACTTAACTTTTTTTTTAATGTAACCACTTCACATTCTGACATTCTCATTCTAGCCTATTGATTTCAGCGATCAGTCTACAAACCTCAGCATTCTAGAATAGAACGAATTGTCAGCACGGCGTTAAGTTCTGTTTACAGGGAAACCCATCGCAGTACTTGCCCCTGAAGCGAGCCGAAAAGTGAGGAATACTATTCAATAAGCGCTGGGTTCTCTCCTGCCTTGGCTCAAACAGTCGCCTCTCTGCTGGGCATCCAAGACTCAACAACTGCCGGGGGGACAGGTGATAACATGCACCCCATCGTATCATTACTTATTGATCGCCTAAAAATTCCCTATAGCTCTTGCAAAGCCCGAGAGGTTGCTGGCATGTAATCCGATAGCTGGTAATAGCTGCACCGTAGGAGGAAGCACATGCTGACAGTCTCATGCATGTTATAGTCAGACCCACTCCATATGATCCCCTGCTAGATGAGCCCCTCTCATGGCCATATTACTGACCCTCTCCATAGGATATCCTACTGGATCACAAGTCCCTGCTGCAGCTCCTGCATAGGAGCAGATTCTTTTAAACCTTCAGATCCGCGACCACATACCTTATCAGAACATACTACTCTTATCAGCACTCACTACTCTGGCTGCCAGTGAGTTAAAGGCTTTTCTGGTACCCTGTGTTACTTTCACCCTCCTCTCTACCACCATGTGTCAGCTAAATACTGTATTTGTTGAAAGAGTTCCTTTTAGTCGGACCCAGGCAATGTCCCCACCTAATCCCTTCTACCCAGTCTTTTACCTTTTTTAATTTAGAGTTTATTTGGCAACAATGGACCCCCCCACCCTCGCCCCCTTTTTGCTTCCATAGAAAGGAATAAAAAGAACACAGATATACAAGGCCAAGAAACTTACCTGCTCACAACCAGATGCCAAAGTCTAGGATCACTTTAGCTTCCCACCCCAAAACAGGATTAAACTCCTTCCTTATCCTAACGTTGTGTGGGGCTTCCTCCAGATACAAAATAAAAAAACAAACCACAACCTTCTGTCTCCCAAACTCCAGGCAGTCACTCTATACCATTTATTTTGTCGTTCATCGTTTGATCATGGTGAATTAGCAAAAAGAGTAAAGGAAGAAAGAATGTGAGAGGTTGAGAGAAAGAGAGAGAAGAGGAGAGAGGGAGAGAGTGAGCAGAGGTTTTCTGCAAGAGAAGAAGAAGGGAAAAAAAATGTACGTGTGACAAATTATGCTACCAAGAAACAACACATCATTATCCTTGGGCCTGGGGCTCAGTGAGTCGTGACGAGAGTAATAGGAAATCCACGGTTGGGGAGAGAAATGGTCGTGCATGGCCAGTGGAGAGAGACCATGCAAGGGGGATGGATGCTGAGGAGCCTGGCAAAATTATGGCTCAAGGCTATTGTAAAAATTGTCGAGCGTAAATGACTGCGATTTCAAACATCTTTGGAAGAAAGAAAAGGGGGGAAACCAAGCCCTCCCCCTCCACCCCCTCCCTTTCCCCATCCCTCTCTCATCTCTCTCTCTATAAAGAACCGTCAAGTTTTAGTGCGCATTGCTAATTAGTCAATTTCTCTCTGCCTTCACAGGCTGGCGACTTTGCTGCTGAGCCGAAACTGCTAATTTCTGCGACCAGCTTTTTTTATTTATATTTTTTTTTTTTAGCTGTGATCTGGATGAATGAGTAGCTGTCTCGGGAAGATGACAAAAAATAAACTCTTATCCCCCCCCTTCTCCTGAATGCACACACAATAAAAGGAGAAATTGCCACCATCACCACCACCACATCCTTCTCTCCTGCATAGATTTATGATGTGCAGGAGCCCCACGCAGTGTGTAAACTTTCTGTGTATTTGTGTCTGTGTGTATGTTGTGCAGAGTGGCACTGTTTTGGTTGTCATCCCTCCCCCTCCGGATGTCATCATGAGAGTTTGATCAGGGAGCAACTGTTAGTTGTTACTGGTACTTCTTGTTTCCTGTTTTTTGGTTTGGTGGCCAGTTCAGGTCCTGGTGGCCAATTCCATAAACTATGTCCTTGCTGTTTCAGAACTCAAGCAAAACAGATGCAGTTATCATTGAGATTATAGTCTCCAAGAGATATGCATCCTGGGCATTTAAAATTTGAAAACATTTTTTTTTTTTTTTAATTTATAAAATTGACCTCTTTAAAGTGGACCCTGTTATTATTTAAACACATCCAATGCTATTCCCAGATCTGAAATCTAATCAACATGAAAGTAATAAAGTACAAAAAAAAGTGAGAAAAATTATAGCCGTTCCCTAAAAAAGGAGTTACACTATTTAATGATGACAATAAAAATGTATACGACATAAAGGGCTGCCTTTAAAACTGCCCTATATCAGTGATAATTCCATCACTTTCAATTATTTTATATATATTTTCTGTTGGCCTGTCTGTGTCTACCTATCCAGCCGTCCGTCCATCCATTATTATTATTGGCATTTATGTAGTGCCAACGTACAATGTTATAAAGGGGGACATTTAATAATAAATGAGACTATTACACATTGTTACAGAAACAATAGGTTGATGAGGACCCAGCTCGAACGAGCGTACAATCCATCCATCCATCTCTGGCTGTTACTGCAGGCCTTATATTTCTTTTAAACACAGTGAAACAGTGAAGCGGTTGGCATTGTTGGAGTTGCCATTTGAAATCAGAGCTGAACCCAAATGTCATAGGGAGGAAATACTTTGATGTGATCATGATTGTTCCCATAGCATGTGCACACACAGACCCATGCGCACAGAATCGACTTTCCTCTGGCTGGATTAATTCACTGAATCATGTGACAGCAGAGGAAGCTAGGAGGTAAGTGCTCTGGCAGCTGTTCTGTAAAAAAATACTGCCGAGAATTGAAAAAGCTAAGGCAGTGAAGCAAATCATGAACTGCTTCACTGATCCCAGAAGAAAAGAAAAACAGAAGGACCTTACTGCTCCTTTAAAGTGGATATGGTATGACTGTATTAAATATTTGGATGTTGCCATGCTTCTAGAACAAATGTTAAAATACAGGCGTTAACCGGTGTCAAAAGGACACTCTGAGAAGCAGAACCTTTTCGAGATTATCGTCTATAATATCTATGGCCGCATAGTTTTGTCAAACTATTTTCAAGTGATCCAAATATTTCTAGAATGAGAAAAATAAATGTATCATTATGCCAGAGATTAACACAAAAGCAAAATTCCTATAGCAGAGGAGTCCTGGCTTCTTTGGCCCTAGAGGGGCAACAACACTCAAATAGTCAAAATTTGACACTAGGACAGCACGCTGTCACAACAACTTAGTTGCAGACGCTGGATGCCAATCGTGACACTCACTGGTGTCAGCTGTACTCTCTGAACATACAGACTCCAAGCACTATTACCACTTCAAATAACTGTATTGGCCATGGTGCTTGAACTAACACTATAATTAATACTTGTCATGCCAAACATATTTAAAGGAGCACTATAGGGTCAGGAACACAAACGTACTCCTGACCCTACAGGGTTAAAATCACCATCAAGCCATCCTGATTCCCTCATGCCTCTAAAAATAAAGTAAAATCTTACTTGTATTCAAGCCTACAGCTGCATAGTTTGTCCCTGTTTCCTTTAGACCTGCCCACTGCCTGCTGACATCATCAGAAGTGGTGGCCTGAGCCAATCACATTGCTTCCCCATAGGATTGGCTGAGACTGACAAAGAGGCAAATCAGGGGCAGAGCCAGCATGATTCAAACAAAGGCCTGGCCAATTAGCATCTCCTCATATAGATGTAATGAATCTCTATGAGGAAAGTTCAGTGTCTGCTTGCAGAGGGAGGAGGCACTGAATGTTTGGATGCATTTTAGGCAGCCATGACCCAGGAAGGATCTCTAACAGCTATCTGAGGAGTGGCCAGTGAAGTTATCACTAGGCTGAAAAAAAAAAAAAAAACTAAAGGACAAGATTTATCAGGAAAAAAACAGGGGCTATTTTTTGGCAAGTGTTAAATAAGTACCAGTCACCATGGAATCCAGTAAAATGCCTCTCAACATATATCACTTTGTACCCAAAATAGCACCTGTTATGCCTTGCTATATCTCCTCAAAAATACATAAATCCATCTATCCTGGAACTAGACTCCTTCATATTTGATCACTGTCAGTTATTTCTATAAATGTGCCCTTTCAAGCCATTTTGTTCTCTTCATTTGCATTGTGTACCATGCCTGTGCCTGGAACGAACAGAATTGTGATTTCGTTTGCTAAATTTTCAATAAACATTTTTTTTTTTTTTTTTTTTAAATTGGTTAACACTAGATATAAATTATATTTACTTAAGTGGGAATTGTTGGGATTTCAGAGAGAATACAATGTGAATTTCAAATTTAAGGCCAAAGTAACTGAACTGTTTGGTTTGGCTTTGGTTTGTGGCTCTATCACTTTAAACTTGCCCCTCTCCTTTTGTTTCCTCTTCTCATTCTCTTTCAAAACCAGTACTTCATTTCTGATCTAGTTCTCTTTAAAACATAAGGCAAGGTAGGTATTACTTTGCCTTATGTATTTCTCCTACACTTTGAGAAAGGTTGGAGCTTAAGGCAAGTTTCACCCATTCTTAGCCTGACGAAGAAAAGTGAAGCTTGTCTTAAGCTCCACCCTTTTGTCACAATTGTCAAGCATAGGAAAACTTTGTAAGTCAAAGTAGTCCCTATTTATCTTGTGTTTTTAAGAGAGGTAGATCAGAAATGAAGAAAAGAAGAACAGATTCCAAAAGAGGACAAAAAGAGGAAACAATAGGAGAAAGGTAAGTTTGAGGTGACAGAGCTCTCACTTTATTGAATAGCCGTGATTTATTCATTTGCGGAATTTCCAGAGAAGTGACAGTTCTACTTTAAATTCAATTTATAGATTATGACATCAGTACAACTCACCGTTTTACGAATAAACACCCATGGTGACATGGACAAAGTTCATTGTTTTAATTAATAAACAAATTATTTGATTAATATGAAGATGAGAGATGAGAGCTGCACTTCTTTTAGCAACCAGAAGATCAGAGCCCTTTCAGCAGTTTCAGTAAACATAAAGGCCCCCATGTCTACTTAAGAAGCATTAACATATTAACATACAAACACTCTCAAATGCATATATTCAATAAATGACAAAAAATCTTCATCCATCCACCTACACTAACAAATACCCGTAACCCTCTCACACAAATAACAGACACATATACACTAAAATTTACACACAGATGTACCTATACCCACACAGGTCTATGCACCTGTCTATTTACACACAGATACATACACCCACACATGTCACATTATGAAAGTATAGAACGTCCATTACAATTAACTTATGGGTTTTCCCTCCTGTTTTCATATTTTAGGAGGGGATGTTTTATATTGAGTCTTGCTCTCAGCCAGCTGTAATGTGTGGCTATGTTCTGATGATGTATGACAGGATTGTCAGTTCTAGTTGATGTGTTTGGGCGATAGAGCAGAGTATGTCTGCTATAAGTCATTGATGTAGGAGTAGATGTGATGGGATTTCAACATGGTTCAAAATTTAGTAGGCCTGAAATCTCCATGTGGCATATACAAGTACAGGTGTTTGTTTTATCTGTTAGTTAGTTACATGTAGCTAAGATACTGTCATCAATGTACTGAGCATGTGCATCAACTGTAGTCACATTCCTTTGTCCTTAAAAGGAGTCATACGGTCTGCCCATATTAGGTGATCCTGAATATCCTGTTCACTGATTGGTCTAAGGGTATGTGTGAGTGGAGCTATGAATGGGAGGAGTTATTGTTAATAAATAGCCTGTGCAAACTATGCTCTGGGCTCATACCTTTTGAACACAAGTTCAGTGTGAGACCTGATCGGTGTGTAAATAAAAGACCTGTTACTTCCTGAAGACTTGTGTACATATCACTTTTTACCAACATTCTCCATGGCTGCATTCCTGGACTTCTACTGCGTGGACCTCCCTTCGTCTCGGCACCACTGGCCTGTTGTCCAGGAGATCATCGACTTCTACGCAGTGAGTACCGGGGTGTCTCATCAATGAGTCTGAACCCAGGTCCAGGAACTAAGAGGTAAGACTGATACCGTTAGAGCGGTAGGCCCACAAGGAGTTTTATATTTGGAACCGCTTATTGGATTGCTCCCTCCCTCTGGAGGGAAGAAGCGATGGCGCACCGCTTA